CAGAATGGTTGAGGTTAGAAGGGACCTCTAGAGATCATTTGGTCCAAGCTCCTGCTCAAGCAGGGACAGCTATCCTTTAAACATGAACAGGCACTACAGGCACTGTTGTAAAAAATTCCTGTTCGACTACAGGCACTGTTGTAAAAAATTCAAAAAAAAAACCCAAATCAAAACAAACAAAAAATACCACATAAAAGTCCTGCTATTCTGGAAAGTGAATGACACCCCTGAAGGTGTCAGTAAAGCGGAACTACTGCTGAAAGGGCATCGCATATATTCCCTGTGTTGTGCAGTGCTCCCCAACGCCTTGCTCTGCCTAAAAATTGGTACTGTAACTGTAAGGGGTTGGTGGGGGATGTGGATGCACAGTGCACTGTGGCACCCTCACCAATGCCCTCCCGTGTTGGAAATTTGGTACTGCTCCGTCAGGGAGCCAGTGCTTGTGCTCTGTGCTGCCCATGCCTGTTCTAACCCCAGAGATGCGATAGAAACGGGACGTGCCTGCACATTCTGACTGTTAGCAGTGAAKGGTCAGGGTCTTATTCATCCCTGGCAATGGCAAACCCAGAGCGGGCTGCAAAATTTTTCTTGCCACCAGCTTTGGAGAATCTGCTATTCCAGGTAAAACCTGGCTACCTATATATTTACTCAAGAGCAGGGCTGGAGCCTTTGATATTATTTAAACAGTAATAAAACAAGGCTCATAAATTAATGTTTAGGAAAAAAAAATCCGTTCTGAAAAGCAAACAAAGCCTCTTGAACTTGTCAAAACCACAGAAATGCAAGCGTAAGAGCAGCATGCATGCGCTCTGCATTGTGAAGCACTCCCTGCTATCCCCTTGTGCCTAAAAATCAGTACTGCAATAGCTGGGGGTGGAGTGGGGGAGGCGGGGTGCGTATGCACAGATTGCTTTGTGTGCTGCCGCTCTCCACTATTGAAGTAGCTGTCCTGAAAAGGTAAGGAAAAGCACGTGCACTTAGCGCTCCCCGGTGCTCACTGCGTCACCTGAAGATCAGAGAAGCAGAAGTGTGGCCGTAAGCCCGGGTTCCCCACTATCCTCCAGCAGCTTGTCAGTGTCAACAAACCACTGTCAACTGCTACTCTCTGACATTTCAGTAATCTTCAAGAGATCTTCAGAGACTTTCAAGACCGTCAAGTCCAACTGTAAGCCTTTTAATGCCATGCTTGTTAAACTGGTCTCATCTATACATTTCTTGAACCCTGGCAGGGATGGTGACTCCACCACTTTGCTAGGCAGCCTATTCCCAGGTTTAACTCCTCTTTTCATTTAAATTTTTTTTCCTAACTTTTAATCTGAATCTCCCCTGTCACAACTTGAGGCCACTGTTGGTCTCACCTGCTCCCTCCCTCTCCTTCCACCTCTGGCCTCTGCTGGGTCCCCTCTTGGTGGCATCTGCATGGTGGCTTTGGTTCCATCTCACGTGGCACTGTACTGGGGTCTTGTGGGGCGGCAGTTGGCACATGCACGGTCCGAGACGGGAGCACGGTGGAGGAGTGTGGTGAGAGGATCTGCGGCCCTTTGGGTGGCTGTGTGCCTTGGGCTGTGGCCTGCTGGTGGGGCTTTCGCTATGTGCAGGTGGCAGCKCAGGGCTTGGCCTGGCATGGATTTGGCGCTGKCTCTGCCCATGCCTGGAGTGTGGAGTCACGTCTGCCGGAGCGCGGAGCTGAATTGCCCTTTTTCTGTGCATCTGTTTAGGGCGCCAGTTCTTGCTCAGAGTGGTTGCACTCACTGCTGCGGAGGCGGGGATGAGCTGGCAGTGGGAGAAAGTGGCCTTGGTGCTCCACATCTGTGAGACGGGCAGCTCCTGCTGCAACAGCCACAGCTGAGAGGGCTGGC